CGGCCATTCTCGAAAGTGAGCCGAACTGAAGGAGAAGGTTGTTACTCGAGTCGTGGCACATCCAGAGGACAGCCCATAACATCAACCACTCTCTCGGAACCTTTCCCCCGTGTATACACACGGACTGCACTCCACAGCAAAACGAGAAAGAGAGAGGGGGGATCATTATCCATCCCGCGAGTGCTTTCAAGATGCCGCTGCTATGTAGCTTTCGCAGTCACCGCTGAGGAACGAACCAAGTCGGTTTCGAAACGTCGTGTTTCTTCAAAACTTTTGGTTGGAGTCTAAATCATCTCCCAGTTTCATACCCAACCAGACGGACTTCTGTCAAATGCTTACATTCAAGACAAATGCATTAGTATTTACGAGATTCTTCCGGGATTCGTCACAACTACGCTTCAACTGTTAGTACGCTTAAAGCAGGTACTCACTAACGAGGTTTGACTGTACAAGAAGTGATAGCAGATGAAGTCTACACCCTGTTTACTTGAAAGTAATGCAAGTTTTTTCAGGATTTTCATTACCTAAAGCCGCTCGCGTTACACATCGAATGCTGAAATTTCATTTTTTTTTCTTTCTAAACACAATGCAAAGTGACCCCTCTGTAATGCAGCCTGTGCATTTGAGGATGAGTTGAAATATTTATCACATGGCAGACACTTTAGAACTGTGATCTTCGGTGCCCCGTATGGCTGGGTTGCAAACCACAAAATGAGAGAAGTATGTGGCTGGGGCTAGACACACCTTCATTTGACCTTAGTAATGACTGTGCAGCCCAGCCGACACAGCGTTGCAAAATTTACAGCTGTAGACGTCCAACCAGGTGCTTGCTCAGTTGTTCATTGAGCCGCTGCGTGAACAAGTAGTGTTTAAACTATAGCAGTTTCTGCCTTGTGAAAAGGTACTTTTCGTTTAACATTCACTTTTGACTGCCATGATCGAATAATAGTGACCTTTGCAAGCTCGCTCTCTCCGATACCACAGCTACGAAAAATGTCACACTGTCGTGAGTTTGGTTGATATTTCAGTAGCATTATTCTCGTATCATTTCGCAGTGCTAAATAACAGCCTAGTATTTATTATGAACATAGCATAAAACAGTTTTTTTTAAATACCATCATCAATAACAGTTGTCTAATAAACCAAATAAATTATAAAGCCGCCATAGTTTTGTACAGCACATGGCAGCTTGTCCTGGAGCAATCGATACGTGTGTGCGCTTGGTGTTCGATAGTCTAGCAAGTTTCTTTGAGGAATACCTGGGTGTCAGTTGCATGAAATTAGTTATTTTCGGTAAGTTTAATTACTGGAAAGTGCTAGGAGTGATGACAGCATGTTCGAGTAGTTTTTACTGCTGTACTGTGTCTGATGTGTTGGATTGAGTGCGGATCGAGGGACATCAGTTATGTCAACTCTGATTCTTCCATTTGGAGGTGAGTTTTGCACATATATATTTAAAGTATAAGTGAACCTTCGTCCCAAATGTTTGTACGCAATGTTTATATATCCCCTTCAGGCGCAACGTCCACATTTGTGGACGCCAAGTTCACACCTAGGTGTTTCGAAAATCGGTCTTGAATCTCGCGCGCAAACAATGCTCCCGCAACCTCTGCATCTTGCTGCAAGGACGCGTGGCGCCATCTCTTGCATTTTGTTCAAAATAACATCGTAAACAAAATTCAAACTGGACGCCTCCACTTTCTATGGCGGGACGCGTAAGTGGCTCTGATGTTTTTATCGTTTACTTCGTACCTTTTTAGCTGGCGTGAAATTTTGCATTTGTCAGTAATAACTAAGATATCCCGCATGCCTTTTAACAATATTTTGGCAATAGGAAATCATTTGTAATGACAGAAAGGTTCAGCTAAATTTCGCGTCCACGAACGTGGACACTGCGCTTCAGTGCCTCCTTTGTTGAAGGGCTGCTATTTCTCTGTGTTTCACTTCCGGCAGCATCAAATGATGTTTACGTTAATATTTTTTGTCACCAGGAATTCAGGATCATGCATCGAGACGACAAAAAGTCGACGGTGAAACAGTGGAAGACGTCCTTAAAAAATAGCCAATGGAGATGTTTCCGATGGAGACATTTCGGACGACGAAAAGGAGGAAGAGAACGAAGAGAACACAAAATTACGTTTTGTTTGAAAAACCATTAGCCTTTTAGTTAAGATCCTGCCGCCCGGTTCTTGGCCGATCCCTCTTTGTGGGTGTGCGCCAGACTATCAAGGATCATCATCATCATCATCATCATCATCATCATCAGCTGAGCGTCAACAAGCCCCAGAAAAAGCGTGGGCGACCAAGCAGTGAGAACCCCCAGGTGATGAAAAGGAAGGCACCCAATGCGTCACCCCTGCCAGTGAGCACTCTTCGCTATGACGGCATACAGCACTGGCCACAGCAAATGAACATACCCAACGCACAACGCTGCAGGAGGGATGGATGCTCATCCAAGAGCCGCGTCCGCTGCAGGAAGTGTGACATTTTTCTTTGCCTGACATCGCAGAATGACTGCTTCGACCTCTTTCACACTGAATAGACTTTTTCTGGTAACTTCTCTCAACATTACTTTGAAAGAAGTTATTTTGAATTTAAATGGAAAGCGTGTTTTCTTCTTTGTCGCTTTTCACTAATATTACTGCTTTGAGGCGCAATGTCCACAAATGTGGACGCTGAGCAAAAATTGAACCAATAAGCATATTTTGCATTTGTTTCGAGTTTCTTACTTTAAAAGGCTTAAATATTGAAATTATGAACAAAAAAACATTTTCACGTTGCCAGATTTAATTCGCGCCTGAAGGGGATATGCTCCAAGTACACTGTAGGCTGGCTTGTACAAAAAGTCTTTGTCACCAATAACCCTGTGCCATGCAATGCTTGTGCAAATGGCGTGCATGGGTCTTTGCAACAAACGCCAGTAATTATGCATATGTGCTAGTGAAGTCGTTTGAAGTTTATTTGGAGTAGATTTAGGTCAATGAAAATACCGTATTTGCTTGCATAACGAATGCACTCGCGTATTAAATGCACGACCAACTTCAGTCGTCGAAATTAAAATTTTTTTCCCCGCGTAATAAACACGCTCCCTACACTCATCCACTGCAGTCCCGCTAACTGACACCTGGCGCCTCCTCACCCATTAAATCTCTTTCGTTTTTATTATTATGCCAACCCTCCTCCGCTACCTCAACTCGGCCTTCCCCCTTTTCTTCGTTGCCGCGGGTCTTATCGTTTTTATTTCTATCTATGCGTAGCACGTCCCCGTTTTTTATTTGTGCGCCAAAGTGGTGCTCACGAACGGTAAGAGAGTAGAGGCATTGCAGCGTATAAGCACACAGTGAGCGAAAGTCACAAAACTTCCTGCGCCAACCGACGGTCACTTCTTGCAAATACGAGTTTTAAGGCCCAACGACATGCACGCGATTTTCGAGTGACGACAGGATTTGCTGTCGCGAAGAGTCATTCGTCACTATGGCATTGGAGGTTTCTGGAAAACCAGAGAAAAATCGCTTGTAGCCCAGAAATGATCCATGACGATTTCCGCAGCATGGTAAAACCCCATATTATCCCTTTGCTTGTTCTCCACGCGTATAGGAACTTCTCATGTAGAAGTGAGGTGGTGGCCGTATTTTGTCGTTAATCTTCTTATTGATGGTTTCTTTTTATACTTAGAAGGTCGCTTGCTGCAATGTTGGTTACTTGCTACAATGTGAACAGCTTTATCGTGATCATCGTGCGAGGTTGCCACGAAGTTGGCAAAGTGTGTCGTAGCACAAGCTTCTTGGTGCCCCTCAAGATCACAGCAGATACCACTGTTGCAGTTATAAGATTGCGCCACAAAACACTTTTATGCTGTGCGCTAGCGACGGGTGGACAGCTTGCAGAAGATAGCACTATAAACTACCGAAAATGAGTAAAGTGCAACAAAGAAGCTGTTTCCAAACAGCCTACGCATACTCCAACTGCGAAAAAGCTAAGCGACCTAAATTTTTTTTGCATTAGCGCATTTTTTGCTGATCCCGATAAAGTTTTCATAAAGTTTGCCCCACATATTAAGCATACCCCCAACTTTGCTCCAATTTTTCAAGAAAAAAAGTGAGAAAAGTGCATTCATCAGGCGAGTAAATACGGTAATCGTTGCATAGCACCTGCTGTATAAACTGCAGCGCCCATCAGATCTTGCTGAGAAAACGCCTTTGCTTTTAACTGCTGTGCCTTTGGGTGTATGACGAAGGTGTATTGTACTGCTTTGGAAAGCTGTATAGATGCTACTCATGTGATTTGATAAAATCAATACTACTTTTGCTAAGACTGTGTTTTATAGGTCAATGTGGTCTTAATGTTTACTGAATGTGCATGAATATTGTTTTCAGGTGGTCTACAAGAATATAAGAAACTCATTCTACATCTAGTACTTGCTACAATTAAGTGTTCAAATAAAAGCTGTCAAGTTTCCCCACCATATCCTCTGGCTGTGTGCAGTGCACTGGATGAACGATGAACAGGTTCTGTAGCAACCATGCCAATGTGCATGCTATAGCAGTGAGGTGAAACTCACACATTCTTTCATTTTTAGCTAGAAATGAAGAATCACAACTGGGAATCTCTCCAGCTTCCATAATACAACTGAGAATGAAAATTTTTACCTGAGAGGAGATTCAAATGGAGAATGGAGCATGATACTTAAGAAAGTGCTAGAGCTGAATTATTACCAAATATTGCATTCCCATGTTTCTCGTCTGACTAAAAAGCCGTGAGGGTGTGTTCCTAGTATGTTACACTGGCCCCAATCGTGTCGAAGTGCTAGATGGTGTAGACAAAAAGAGGTGTGCATGAAGATGTGCCCTAATGGTTTGCAGTGCAGTAAAACAAATCACAAGGGCTACCAAAAAACATTGCATCAACACTGAAGGTGAAAAAAATGTGTTACAAGGTGTCCAGAAGCATGTCAGCAAGCATCAAACACCTCTGACAAAAGTGTTCTCGGTAGGACTCACCGTGCGCACTGGTTCCTTGACAAGGGCAGCCCAGATGGAGCCAAATGAAGCCCTTACACTTGGGTTTGGGTCGTACCGGTAACGGTAGAGCTTGGGCACAATGGCACCCAGGTGCTCCTTGAGCTGCTCGCCAGCTTTATCGGCAATGCTGCCAAACCCAAACGCTGCCCCCTGCAACAGACACTGCGACTCATGAACTCTGCTGAAAATTTAGTTTTCTTTTTTGCGGCTCATAGCTGCTCAGATGATCAGTACTACACCTCTGGTCAAATACTTAACACAACTTCTTGACAAAATGTGACTGGTGTGAACCCAACTACCAAAGTAACATAAGCCAGGCGTGTGCGAATATTCAAACTTTTGAGCATTTTTCAAATAGTGTTTGCTATTTGGTTCAATTTGCACTAGAATTTTGACTATTTGTGAAGTATTCGTACTTCCCAAAGACAATAAATATCTAATTGACAATGGCAGCTTCAAAATTTTAACATGCTTCGCCCCATTGCATTTCAATATTGTGGCTAAGCTGCCTTTAAGGCTACAGTTGTAACCTGATTGGTTTATGGTAGTGCTGGTTCGAACCTCCAAGAAGAGGGGGAGACTTTAATTAGTTCCAAAAGCACTTTAACTTGGGTGAGTTGGTACATAATTGGGCGAGTTGGTACGTAACAGTGCTCGTCAGTGTGTCTCCTATGGTCTTTGCCTAATTGTGCTGAAGCCTATGCAATTGGGACTTTAATTAATTTAACTTGAAATATAAAGGTAAAAGATTATTAGTATTCGAAATTTCAGATATTTTTATAAACATTGGTATCTACAGGGCAGATTATGAACTTTGAATTCGAGGGCAGTGCACCTTAGTCCACTGATTCACTTGTGCCTCTACAAAAGTTGAAGAGGAGTGAGGTGGAGAAATAAAAAGAATCATTTCCTCTCATGTGTAAGGTGCTGTCGACACTACATTGGTTGCAGGAAATCATGTAAATACAATTCAGTCTCTGCATTGCCTCAAACAATAACTAGGGAACGGCATCCCTACTGCCCTTCTCCAATCTAGCCAACAGAAAAAAAAAAACCCACTTCCATGTTTTTAACTCACAAGAATGTGCTTTGAGATCCTCTGAAACCTCTTTTCTGTTATTTCACTTTGAAGTGTTCGAAAAATGTGAGATTCAATTGGCACACAACTGAGCACCGCTGGGTACCCGAAACAGATTACAGTTAAACCTGCTTATAACAAACCTTCATATAACGAATTCCTTGACATAACAAAATTTTTCTATTCCCCGCCGTCGCTTCATAGAAGCACATGTATTCGCAACCTTTTTGAAACAAAGTAACAGTGTGAGACGACCTTGATATAACGAATTTCCCGCCGGACAATCTAGAAATTTTGTTCCGCATTTGGGCATTTTGGTACAAGCATGCATCTTTCGCGACAACCGCTGCCCCGGCGGCGCTGTAGCGGCGGAGGCGTGCATGGTGCACCAGGCGAGAGCGAGCGCTGGTTATTGCGCGCCAGTGAGCACCAGGCGGGCGCGCAACCCATGAGTCGGCGTTGCCACCCCCCCCCCCCCCCAATCTCGCTGCCGTGGGGGCATGCCCCGCTGTGTCTCCCCCCCTCCCCTCGGCCAAAATAAAAAAATAATAATAAAACTATACTTTCGCGCGTTGACAGTGCCACGCCTTTAGTTAGCGTTCCATATGTGGGGCTGCGCTGCATATGGAGGGCACTTTACCAAAGAGTTTTGCGCAATATCAGTGTGTTTCCGTGTCTTTCGCTCTTCGTTTTGGACGCAGTGCGCACGGGCATGGTGTGGCTTCAGACGATGTTCAGCTTTCCTTCTTTTTTTTTTTATTGCGAAAGCAATTATATAGACAGTCTCGGCTGGTTTTTTTCTTCGCCGCAGTCATTCACTGTCTATGTATACGTATCTAATACAAGAAAACTGAAGATAAAAAAAAAAAAAAGCCGCCCACGCTCGGCACCCAGATCGTCACAATGCGCCGATGCGTGCTTACTTCCACGCGTGCTTTGCCCGGTAAATGGGGGGAGGGGGGGGAGGATGCTTGTAAGCCTGCGCTCCCCTTCAGTGGGGAGAACCGTGCGTCTTCGAATTTGACCAGAATGATTGCGTTCAGTTGCCAGGTGAACGAAGATCACTTGACTCGCTAGACGGGCGCCGTTTGAGAAAAAAGTGGCCCTGCCGCAGTGGTCTAGTGGCTAAGGTACTCGGCTGCTGACCCGCAGGTCGCGGGTTCCTATCCCGGCTGCGGCCGCAGCATTTCCGATGGAGGAGGACATGTTGTAGGCCCGTGTGCTCAGATTTGGGTGCACGTTAAAGAACCTCAGGTGGTCGAAATTTCCGGAGCCCTCCACTACAGCGTCTCTCATAATCATATGATGGTTTTGGGACGTTAAACCCCACATATTAATCAATTGAGAAAAAAGAGCGCTTTTCAAACACAGCGAAGTGACAACTAGGGCACTTGTTAGTTCACACTCATATCTGTACCTGTGATTAGGTTTTGTGCCGTGTTTTTGTTTAAACAGTGCGTCGAGTGTCGAGCGGTAAACATTGTCATTTCACTCTCGTCCTGTGTATGTTGTTTTTGTGCGCCATTTGTGTGTAAGCAGCACGCTGCACATTTTGATCCGCTTGCCGTTCTCAGCGTTACATTCCAAGCTGTTGCTATTCATTTCTTCACTGTTGCAGTGAAACTATGACTTTTACTTTCTTAATTTCTGACAACCATGTCGTCACCACCAAGGGGATGTCAGATTAGGCACTGATAGAGACCACGGTGACGATGGATCTTCAGAGGTCGACTCGTCACGCCCTTCCGTCTTTCGCCACAACGGCGCATTGAATTTAATGCAATAAACGTGAAAGCAAAATATTGTAATGTTATAAGAAGTGAGGCTGGCAGCCCACTCTTTTGAATTCAATATAGCGGAAATCCTACAAAATGCTGGTGTGAGCAAGTACAGTCGCTCCAGGGTGAAGTGTTCTTTTCACACTGCCCCTTCGCATTGAAACCGCACCGATACTCCTTGAGATAGTATTTTTTCAAGGTAAACAGCGCGAAAAACGAAGACAGAGGAGTAGGAAGACACAAGACAAGCGCTGGACAATCAATACCGACTCGGACAATTTTCAATACTACTCTCTGAGATAGCAAGCGCGCCAGTGATTACGGCCGTCTTTAAAATTCAAGTTCATTATTACTAATTTAGCAATATCCCCTCCCCGTGCTGTTTCATGCTCGCTCAAGACGGGTGGTTTACTTTCTGTTTGAGCATTCGACGGCAGTTCTAACACGCGGAAGATGTTATACTTTCCAGACGATAGGGATGGGTCGACTGATTTGATCTCTGCTTTAGCATGGTTCGCGTGCTTTTACCCGCTCGTAAATGTTACGATACCGGGGCAGTTATCAATCTGGACTTGTTATGGAACATGGCAGTGACGGCAAAATCTTGCCGATAGTGTCCATATAGTTGATATCGCAATATTAACTCAGTTTTTTTACTCTAAAATAAGTGTTTTGGGTCAGCTGTGTCTTCAGTCCCCTTTTTGTTCAATTTAAGCACTTATTTCCCAAATTTTCCTACCAAACCTGCATATAACGAAATCCTCTTCATAAGAAATTTTGTCGAGAATATCTATTTCATTATACAGTCGGCTCCTCCTAAACAGAACTCGAAGAGAATCCATAAATTGTTCCATTTATCAGAAGTTTCATTTAAGAAAGTACACTTATTTAGTGAACCAAGACCTTTATTCAGATAGCACAAACCTCACCTTATTCATGAGGATGAGTAGGAGAAAAAAAAGAAGCGAAGAGTGGTTTGTTTGGCAAGCTTGAGTTGTTTTTTTACAAGGTACGCACCAATGCCTGACAAATTAGCTGGAAATTCTGGATAAGCCTCATGCTCAAAATAGTGCTGCAAAAGTTCTACAGCCTCTTTAGCTGATCGGTCTGGTGGCACCACTGCACTGGCAGTATTGTCATCACATTCATTGCTGGCAGGTTGATCCTCATCGTGCACTTTGGCAATCATTTCCTTGACAGTCTCTTCCAACAGGTATGAACAGTTTCATCAATTGATTCATAGTCCTGCAGCGTGAAAGGGGCAGAGGGCACGACCTGACTGAATACTGTCTCAATGTTTACATCAGCAGGGCTTACTTTATCCGGTACTGTTTTCTGTCGCTTAAAAGCCAGCATGATGAAAGCATCTGTGCATTGTTGTTGCCTTCACTTGCTCCAAGGCACGAGTCAAAATGTGAATGGCTGCCAATAAATCTATGCTGTAGCATTTCCAGCTGCCTGCTCTAAGCAGGATTTGATGGAGCGATTGTCTGCAGTAATGAACTTTCTAAATATCAATGTTCTGAATCCATTGCTCCATTGAATCCTTGATCCATTGGCTGGATCACTGCCATTGCATTGGCTGGCAAGAACTCCAGAGTGATGGCTTGGAGTCCTTGAACCTGAATGTGGGCTGGGCAATTATTTACGATGAAGACAACCTTCCTGATTTGCCTCGTAAGTCTTGCGTCTTCCTCCCGTAGCCAGTTTTCGAAAATGGCCATGGTCATCCACCCTCTTCGGTTCGCATGGTACGCAATACGCAACAGGAAGGCGTCGAATGCCTTTGAAACAACGTGGGTGCCTTGATTTTCCTATTTCCAACAGCTTCAATTTCTCATTTCCTGCCATGTTTGCACTTACCAGCACAGTCATGCGATCTTTACCAAGTTTTCCTCCACTACAGGCTTCGCCTTTGATGGAAGCGCCTTATAAAAAAGACCCATCTCGTCGACGGTGAAGACGTCTCGTGACTCAAATGATGATGATATATGGTGTTTTTTGGCGCAAGGGCCATTTGATGGCCAAAGAGCGCCAGTTCATGGGACAAGGAATGTGGACAATGATTGTGATTAGCGGCTGTATAAGGGCCATAAAATTCCTCGCGGTAAAACGGGTAAGAACATACAAGTAATAAAATCATGACCATGCCGTGAAAGGTGTGTGTGGTGCAAATAGATGACAAAAGTTGGTGATAATAAAAACAATGGTGGACATGTATGGCATTAGCACAAGTGCCTCACTCGTTCATACCCTTGTGTCCAAGGGCCGTGAGGCAAGTGCTTTGTTGTGTA